CTGGGCCTCGGGTGGTGCCTCAGGCAGGATATGTGGTGGCAGCTAGGTGGCAGATGGATGAGCAGATTATTGCACAAACAACAAAGCCCTTGCCACTATGCTACCGTAAGGCAACAACATAACATACTTACCATTGCCTAGTTTCTTTCATGAATGGCAGCTTACAATATGTGGTTGCTTATTGATAATAATATGACACTTGATATTCTATCAAGGGATAGTGGTATATAAGTAAGGACTTAGGAGCAGCTGAGACCTATGCTACATGAAAGGCTCCAGGACTGGATGGTACAGGAGCTAGAAACAATGTGTCATGGGATAGTTAGTGTCGTAAGGGGCTGTGGAGATCCACATAGATCCCATTCTATTTACTAGTAGAATGCTCTACAGTCGTATAAGGAGCCGTTCCTTCCCCATAGCTTCCACAGGTCGAGAATCGTTCTGCTTCCTCTCCCCTGATTACCTAGAAGCTGTTCTATCATTCCGGGCACAAAGCCCTTGACATAATGTTTCAATGCTACACACACCTCTTCGGATACTTTCTCATATGGAGAGGTGAATTGTAGTACAGTGTGCCTGCTCAATAACTATACCAAGGAAATGTAAGGAGCTGTTGGACTAGGCAGATGTAGCACCGCCTTCTCATCGAAACGTTAGGGAGGTGGCATAGGTAGCGCTGATAGCTGAGGTTTTGGAGGCCAAAAATGGAGACTATATCCTAAATCTGACATATAAATAGGGCATAGTCATGCAGCCATGGCTAGCTGCAGGCCGCGGCAGACTTTAGCGTGTGATCTTTTTGGAATCTAGAATGGCTCGTTGTTTAGTCTGAGGCGCAGTTTTGGGGGAATGTCGATTCCTTGAGATATAGGTATAAGGTAGACATTTTTCGAGAATTGGTTCTCCGGTCTCCCTTCGACAACCCCCCTTTTCTATAAAGCAGTCAACAAATCTCCCCTGAAAGCTTTATATCCACGATCTCTGACATTTCATCTTAGTATCGATCTTGTTCTTATCTTTAGCACGAATCTCCCCCTATTATCACCCCGCCTCCTTAATTCATTCCACGGTTAAGTTACCAGGCCCTGGTCTTCAAGATGGCTTCGCAAACCCAGCACCCCCACCTCCCCCTGCCCGACTACTTCCCCCAGCTCGCCAAGGTTTACGTTCGCCAGACGGGTCACTCGACGCTCAACATCCTTACCGACGTCATCACCGAACATGTCCAGACCTCCGCCCATCCCGTCGGCCCAGACTCGGTCGTCCACGACACGGCCGCGGGGCCCGGCATAGGTGCCGCAGCGCTCATAGCCAGCCTTCCCAAGGACCAGCTGCCCAAAGAGCTGCTGGTCTCGGACAATGTCGCGACGATGGTGTCGACCGCGCGCGAATCCCTCTCTGCCTCCCCGCTTCCCCACGTCGAGTGCAAGGAGCTCGACTCGCAGGACCTATCGTCGGCGGCCGTGCCTGACAACCACTTCACCCACTCGATTAACAACTTCAGCATCTTCACCTTTCCCCGTCCCGCTGCTGCTGTGCGCGAGACGTACCGCACCCTCCGCCCGGGCGGCCTCGCCGTCGTGACCTGTTGGCGCCGCTTCGCGCCCGTGTTCATCGTGCACGCCGCGCAGAAGAAGATCCGTCCCGACTTACCGCTAATGCTTACGCCCAATCCACAGTTCTGTGAAGAAGGCGTGCTGCAAAAGGTGGTCGAGGAGGGCGGGTTCGCTAAGGACAACATAACCGTGGTCGATAAGGTGTTGGTCGTCAACGACGACGAGAATATAGCTGGGCTTACTCAGCTTATGTCAGGCCCCATGATGGCCAAGGCGCGCGAGGGGTACACAGAAGAAGAAGAAGCCAGGTGGGCTCCGTCTGTTAGCCAGGCTGTGAAAGAAGAGGTAGAGCAGTTTGGAGGTATTAGGTTCGAGGCCTATATCCTCTTGGCTACGAAGTAGAGCGGTTTGAGCGTAACTAATGAGAAGAGGGAAGGGCAGGGGGAGAAGTTAGTCGGCTACCTATCACTGAGTGTGAACCTATATCTCCTGCCCCCTTTTATAGTCTTGCTGTCAGATACTACCTGGCGCGTTGAGCAAAATTACGAACACCACATATAAGTATCCCCGGCTTCATACTCAATACCCCTATTGGGGCATCTACTATATAGAAACCTGGAATGCTACTTACCAATATCTCATGAAGAAGTTGCTATACCTATTGAATGAAATATGCAATTGTGCATTCAATACATCTTCCATTATAAGAGTCTTGACGACCCAATAGTTCAGTGGTTACGCCTAGACTGGAACATGGCCCATGAGAACCTAGAAAGAAAGGGGGGTGGGGACGGAAACCCACCAACCCTCCTTCCCTCCCTGACCAAGAAACACAAAACCACGGATTTGTTTTCTTGGGAGGCTCACATACCAAACAACTACCAATTCCCATTTGTCTTAACGTCCATCTACTCTGCCGAGTAAAATGTCTGCCATAACATCGCCCACGAGGTTTATCCCTGAGAAAGTTCTTCGTACAGATTACCACGCGGGCGAAAGACAAGCACAGGGCCATCATGGGCGGCGACAAAGAGGTCATATATCGGAAACTCTCTTCCTGGCTCATCCTCATCGTACCTTACACCGGTAATCTTCCCATTTCTCCGCTTCTCGGACTTATCCTGGGCCATCTCGAAATCAAAGTACCACAGCGTCATAGCTAGCACGAGGCTCGTCTCGAGGTACGCCATTGCCTTCCCTGCACATCCGCGCGAACCGATCGAGAAGGCGGCCAAGGCATCGTGGGTTGCGAGTCTTTTTGCCGTCTCTCGGCCCTCGAGCCAGCGTTCCGGCTGGAAGCGAAATGGATCCGGGAAGTATGCCTCATTGTGGTGTAGGCTGTAGATGCTCACGCCGATTTGAGTGCCATGTGGGATGACCTGTCCGTCTATGATGAGGGGCTCGCGCTGCTGCTGATCCCCCGTCGCCGGCACTGCTGCTTCGCGCCATAGAATTCCGGGAACGGGGGGCGACATCCGCAGAGACTCGTCGATGCATGCGCGAAGGTACCGGCAGCCAGAGAGGTGCGGGCCTCCCCGAATCTCGGAGCCGGTGTTGAAGGTGGACCGGATCTCGGCGGCAAGCTTCTGGTAGCATTGCGGGTTCTGCGATAGGTAGAAAAAGGTTGCCGCAAGGGTGGATGCGATTGTCTCGCCACCTGGTAAAATGGTTTACTTCCAGTCACACTTGAAACTCGGTAGATACTACCCCGGATATAGAAAGGGGCCGGGGGGGGGGGGGGGGGGGGGGGGGGAGGAAACACACCTGCGGCGAAAAAGAAGACAGCCTCTGTCCAAAGCTGCCCTTGCCTGAGGTTATTGGTATCGACATCCGAGTGTTCTGTAAAAACAGATAGGAGATCATGTCTAGCGTCCGAGGGCTGCGCAAGACGGGTTGTTATCATCATTTGGATGGTGGCCATGAGTTTAGCTCGCAGGCTATTAGGGAAAAGGTCCATTATCAAGCCAGGTTTCAGCTTCGCCAATGGCGGGAACTGTAAGCACGTATTGACGCGATAATTGCCGAAGTTAATCGCATCAGTGAGGTACCTTTGTGCGGCGTCTGTCTGGAGATGGAGGTTGTAGCCAAAGCCGAGGAGACCAACAATGTCGAGACCAAGATGCCGACAGTTAGGGGCCATATTGACAGAGCTTCCCTTCGACTCCAAGAGCTGTGTTAGAAATACGGTGATTTGGTTTCTGATGGTCGGTTCAAAGGCCCTCATAGACTGATCCGAAAGAAGCTGACCGACAAGCTTCCTCTTGGGACGGTGTTCACTTTTGCTTATGGTTGTGAAGATGTTGCGCTGGTCAGGTTGTGCCAAGGCATAGACGTAAGACTTGGCGATCTTATCACTTTGGTAAATTTCTAGAGGCGCTGATGAGCCGGCATTGAACTTGACTTGCGGTGCTTCTTGAAGGATCGTCTACCTCGATGTGCCGCCACGGTATTGAACACCAGCCGATCAGGGCCCTGTCTCACCACGGAGCCTATGAACAGAAGTATCAATGATATAGCCTTACGAGACGAGTCTATGTGAACTTATAATGCCATTCATACGTACCATATTTCAAGTGGTTTTTGTAAGACTCCAAGTGAAGACATTTCCTAAGGGCAAAGAAGCCACCGTATGCATCTGATAGTTTCGCTGCAAACGGCCCAGGATATTTCCGGAGGGGGTGCAGTACAAGGCGATAGCTAAACACGAGAAGGTACTGAGATCCATTGAGTAAGAGACTGTTAATGAAGATGATATACTATACTTACATAGAATGCAATCGTAGAAGCGATGTATGGAACAAGAACATTGATATTGAACACCATCATAGCTCGTGATAGTTAGTTGGTGAAAGGAGCATCAAGCTGGATTGCTCTATACATACTAGACTCTGATCAATAGGGGTGGAAGGGTTTTAGTATTGGTATCTAGCCAGGAATGCCTGAGGCAAGCTTGATTGGTGTACGCTATCCACATGCTGTTGGTGTTGTTGGTGTTGCTGCTTTGCTTAATTCCATGTCAATTCTCAACCAACATGCATACGCTGGCGGTTAATCACTCAATCGGGTAACCGAAAGGGTGATAAAAAGGGGGCGGGGTGAATATTAGGCAATATGACCAGTGCCAAACCAATAGGTTGTAACACCCTTGCCAATCCAAGCTCAAGTTTGAAAGTCAGCGGCAGAATCAAGCTCATGATCAATATCATGATATGATATTTAACTGGGACATTAAACTTAATTGTGCTTTGCTCCTTTTACGAAAATCGGGAAACGGAGAAAGCTAATAGAGGATCTGAAATGCTGATGCAACACAGCACGAAACACGGTAAATGGCAAGATGGAGCAATAAAAAAGAAGAAGAAGAAAAAAAGAACGAATGTAAGAATCGAGAGAGGAAAGGAGAAAAAGAAAAGATGTTGAAGTATTATCACAAAGACAAAAAGATGGACTCGCGGGGAATCGAACCCCGGACCGCTCCCAACTTAGTTAGAGTTGCTAAGGGAGAATTATACCACTAAACCACGAGCCCATTTGAGGATGGAAAATTGCCACTTACTTTAGTCTATAATCTTGTGCAGGTGCGCCCCAACATTGAGCCGCATAAACCCCGAGTTTATTACATATAGGGGGGTTCTCCACATCTTTCTTAGCCTACACAATTCCTTGATACCCGGACACGATAAGATGACATCTGATACGTATGTGCGCCGCCATTTCAATGCCAATATACGGCAGTGGAACGCAATATATATATGTATATAGGTAAGAAATGAAAAGCATATGAAGGCAAGGCATTTGGCCGCCCTAAGAGGAATCCCATTGCCTCTTGTACCTGGCCTGGCCCTGCGCACAAGCATGTGAATCCAATCATGCTGATCCCCTAGCACTGACGAGAAGTGGCATATAGTGTGAAGAATAGCTTGGAAACAAGCTCCTCATAATAGAGCCAATAGGTAGTTGGATTCTCGGATATCAAGCTTGACTTTTAAGTTGTTGTTGATCCTAACTACCTATGCATGCAGGACGTACGCAACTACTAGCAAAACAAGAAAGGCGGTGGTGACAGCTGTCCCGTGCGTAACAATCCAGTATCATGAACCGTTGCCCTCATTGCGGCACACTCCTCCCCTTTTCTCAAAATTTTCTCCCCCGTCCCCTCCCCAACACGAGAAACAAGCAGAGGGCACACAATTCATATCCAGCATACCTAATTTCATCAATTCGTTTACCTTTCCCGTCTCGAGCAGTTTGCCTCTCCGGCGTCCGCATCCGATGGAACATTTCCTGCCAAGCATTCCCCTTTCCATCCGTACCGTAATACATGTTATCGTGACAAAAGAAAAACGGCTATACAATAACACAAGACATTAAGCAGAGACACTAGGAGTAGTGGTAGCTCGTGTGTGTACCGACGGGTATATACGAGGACAAGCAAGTTACCACATCGAGTCAGATCAGAGACCACCATGATGAATCCTCGATCACGAGATCTCCGTCTCGACGTCTGGCTGCCGGCCGCCGAGCGAGCCCATCTTGGTGACGCGGCGGACGGCGAACTTGGCCTCGTCCTTGGCGAACTGCGCGTTGCGCAAGGGGCGCCACTGCATCAGGCCGCGCTGCTGGCGGTGTAGGTCGCGGCTGCGCGACCGGTAGTCCTTGTAGGCCTTGATAGGGTTCTTGCTGCTGCCACTGCCGCCGCTCACGACCGACGCCGACGACGATGAAGGCGAGCGCGAGTGTGAGGAGTTGCCGCCGGGCGCGTAGGATGCGCTGCCGTTCGTCGGCGCGCTCGAGAGCACGTACCCGTCTTCGTTGTCCTCATTGTTGTTGTGGGAAGATGAGTTCCGACCTGCCTGTGACGAAGAAGTCGCGTCCGAGATGCCAAGGTCCGTAGACGCGGACGATGACTGGCGGGTATGCTTCGAAGCGCGCGGAGATGATGGATTACTGCTGCTGCCGTCATCCGACTCGTCGTCGTCGTCTGGCTCGTACTGATCCTCGGGGTTGAAGCCGACGCGGGACTTTCGGCTGCGCATCAGCTCGGCGGGGTCCATGCCGAAGGCACCGGACCAGTCGGTGCCGTCGCGGGACAGCCACTTACGCTTGTCCTCGTCGGAAGCCATGGCGAGAACGTCGCGGCCGTGGGTCAGCGAGGCCTCGTGCAGGCGCTGCACCGTGGGCGGAACCTCCTTCTTGACTTCTTCCTCGCGGACGCCCTCGGCGAAGCACGCCTCCCACGTCTCGATGGTTTCGCGCGAGTCGTTGTCGCTCACGAACCGGAAGTGGTCGCGGTCCGTGCCCGGCTTGAACCGGCCCCGGAACCGCAGCCGCCCGACCTCCTGGATGTCGATGTCAGGTATCGTCTGGAAGTTCGCCGCGGTGACGAAGTTCTGCGACAGGCGCATGCTGTTGTCACATTTCCATATCGGGATGTCGAAATCCTTCTCTTCCATGTCGACCAGCTCCTGCAGCCAGATCGCAGCGAAGTGTTGTGCGTTACGGTGGCCGCTGGCGATGAACTCGATGAACACCGGTGACCTGTAGCGGTAGCGGACTGGTAGGCGTGGTCTCGGGTTGTTGGTGATGCCGCTAATATCCCACTCAACATTATCACCTTCTCGGGTACACTGCTCTTTTTTGACTACCGCAGAACTACCACCGGTTCTCAACTTGATCTTCACCTTGCCGCTGGAGCCAGGGGCAAAGGTCGAAGACATTTTGTCCGAGAGGAACTCGAACGTGCCAACATCCCAGCCGAGCTGCGCTGGTGGCAACTTCAGGTCAACTGACCTGAACAATACCGAGATTCGAATGCGACCGAAGCCGATACCGCCATCTAGAGGGTACCAGCGAGACACCTGCGAATGGACTATAAGCTTATGTACTAGCATACGGGAACCTTTTCTGGACTTACCTGGCTGGACGTTTGCAATAGATCGGAGACCTTCAACGGAACAACACCGATAATCGGATCGTGCTGTCGGTTTCGGGAGTCCCGGACAGCGACTGTGACAATCGCAGACCTCCAATCCCGAACGAAACGCTCAGTCCCTGCATTGAATATTGGCTTGGAAGAAACGACCTTGGTTCGAGTTTTGTAGACCTAATCATCCCGTTAGTCCTCGTCAAGTTGAAAAACACCAACACTTTAACGTACCAATTCATCGTTGAGCAGGATGGTGCAGTACGAGCTGGGCACTTTCTTGCTTGCCTCTTCCTTGATCTCGCCAGCATCCCGCGCAGGTTCGTACTCTCGGCCGCCTGTGCGCTTTCCACCTTCGGATCCGTAAACATCCTCCAGCTCGAGACTGACGATCTGGTGAACTATAATACTAAGGACACCAGAAGGCCAGAGAGGATCAGGTGGAGTATGGGTCACGGCATCCTCTTCGCCACTCTGGATGGCTCCTTTGTCATCTTGCAACTCCTTCTTGTCGCGAAGCTCCTTGGGTAGATTAATATCTTTACCATCGGTCCGCAATGCCTTCCGGAATTGGGTCTTGCCGAAGAAGCCGACCTCCCAGTGTAGTTCTCCCGGCATACTGCTTTCGGCCTTGAGACCCCTAAGTTTCGAGACCTGCTGGAACATCTGCCCCGGATGTTGGATGAGCTTCTGCAGGGAAAGCTCGACCTTGCCTACAACGTCATCGGCGCTCGAGCGATCGCTGTCCCAAAGCTCCATGGATAACTGCTCGTCAACTTTGAGAAGATCGGGTGTGACAAGCAGTCCGCAACTCTCTTCGAATACGGGGTTCAGATCATCCTGGATAACGCGGGTACAGTACATCGGCTTGCCGAACTTAGAATAGCTGACAGTGATATAAGGATCGGAGCCACCGCCTTGGGATCCCCTCCGATCCTGCTTTGAAAGTCCGGTCGCCTTGTGAATGCGAACGAATAACACGCCCAGCGCAGCCGTCTCCTTTTCGATGTCGTCGCCGGAGAGTATCTTGCCCAAGTCGATTGTCATGGATTTGGGAGCAACATACATGGAAGTGGCAGTCTTAATAGCCCAGTTCACAAAGTTCGATATAACCGGGAGATTCAAGATATTGACGCCACGCTCGAGCATTGGCGTACATCCGGCCTGGACACTTGGGACACCCATTAAGGTGAACGTGACGGCTTTGAGAAACGGCGGCTCTGGTGACATCTGGAGTCTGATTCGCGCTGTCCCGACCAAACCAATCAATTCAACCCAGATCGGTAGAGGGACGCCGAACAATCCCTTGATTCCCAGGTAGAAGATCATCTGCATTCCCATATTCGCAGCTTTCGCAGACATGGACTTTTCGCTCGGCTTGGCGTGGTAGGCGAACGACACCTCGAGGTTGTAATAATCGCCACCCTCCTCATCCGCTCGAAGTTCCTGCGGGTCCTTCACTTTCTCGTTCTCTTTGTGCATCTCATCCTTGACATCTTGCATGTGAACGTCAGGCAAGGCCCTAAGGCTCAGGATTCGGATCGGATTGTTTCCCTGGCTGATGTCGGCCACCTTGACATTCTCGATGACTCCAGGGACTGAAGCTTGCATGACATCCTGTTATAGCATGTTAGTGATTTGGAAAATCAAGGCTTGATAAGCTTCCATACCTCAAGCGTATCCGCAACAGAGGCGAACAACTCGGGGTTTAGAAGACCCCAGACAACGGAGAGAAGCGTGTTCATCCACTCGACAGATTCGGGGATCAGATTCGCCGTGGCCGTTTCGCCACGCTTCTGTTCTCCAGACCATTCGATATCCCGGCCCTGTCTGATGACATCTTTCATCCACAGGAAAATACCTGACGAGATGCACATAGCCAGCGGGATCAAACCGAGCAACCTCCCGCCGAAGAACTTGCCCATGAATATAATGGCGAAGAAGACGCCGATACAGAGGAAGGTGGCGCGCTGTTCAATGATGCCAAACATAGGTTCGTAACTGACAGAAGGCGTCGGGTGGAACAAGATATTCGTCTTCTCGCCGCGGATTGGCACGTCCGAGGTCGCTCCGCTAGCGACAGGGTCCGGTGGTGCTGTCACATCTTGTTTTTGTCTATATTCTTCGCCCGATTGATGCGCCTCCGTCTTTACTGCCGCCTCTTTCCCTAGGTTTGCATTTGGCACGACGAGCTAGAGGCGCGCAGTCGTAAAGTAAGTACATGTAACAGGAGTAGCGAATTGGGGAGACGCTGTGGTAGTTCGTATAAGCACTCACCTGAGGGTTGTCTACGGCGTCCATGGAGTTGGGGTCAACGTCTTCGATTTCCACCTCGTTGCCTGTTACGGGGTCTGTAACCATCCGGCCACGACCCTTCTTTTTGGGGGCATCTTTGTGGGCTGTGACGCCTTTTGGACGCTTCCCCTTAGTTTCTTCGTCAATCTTGGCGTCGCGGGCCTTCTTGTCTTTATCGAGAGACGCGGCGAATTCCTTGATGTTCGGGATCCGGTTGTGGCCAGAATAATGCCCCGGCTTGTGCTGTTCTGAAGATGCCATGTTGGCTAGATCAATTGCAGAACAAGAGACTCGAGATGTGTAGCGATATG